AATATAACTATAGGGAAAGGAACCATGCAGAAGGGCGAAATGATTTCAGTAAACATTCTCCCCAAAAAAACTTTTTAAATCTTATATAATTATTCCAAACAGCTATAAACCGTGAAGGAAAAGCTAAGTTTTTAGAAAGACAATCTTTACTATTTCTATAAGGCCCTCTCCACAAGCACGTGAAAATGAACTTCATTGTAGATTTTAAAAAAACTTTTCATCTTTTATTATTCAAAACAGCTATAAATCACAAAGACTGGAAAAGCTAGTTTTGTTTAGAGAAACAATCTTTAATATTTCTATAACAACTGCACAAGCTATACAAGATCGTCAAAACTATAAATGTTTACGGACCTCCCTTCCTATTTATAACATTCCTGTAATTATATTCTATAGCAAAAAACTATTTGGCTTCTATGACAAGACGAAACGTGTCTGAGCAAAAATCATTTTTGGCAACTTCCGGGCTTGAAAATTTTATTGTTTTAACTTTAACGCTTCCCACAAAATGCATYCAGCTTTCTTTTGGTTGTGAAATTTGGACACGACAGATGTTGACATAAGTTTGTAGTGTGGGACATGATAGGCAGTTACAGCGCTGTTTTCGYTTATAGATAAATTCATTGAATAATGCCATAATATAGGTATACCTTTTTCCAGATTTCCAACAACTTTTCCAGGAAGGAATACCAAAAACAGCGCCAATGCAAAGTGAGGCAGMAACTGTCCTTGCATTTCGGGTTWACGTGCCATTGACGCACTGCTCCGTACCAATGTCTGARCATAATATGTTTAAAAATGCGAGAGAAGCAAAATTAAAGAAATATGTCTCTATCATTAGTGACCTCCTTATTCTTTGTACGGATAAGTGTTGATTAAACTTGAGCTTAAAGAAAATAATAGACATTAAAAAAAAGTTTSAAGATAAATAGTTTTAATGATGTTGTGGGTAATTGCATCAGTTTGGGCCATAATCAGTGATTTTCATCGACCAATAATTACTTTAGAGACATCAATTAATTTAAGAACGTGACCTACGGTAAAACGTGCTTTATTCAAAAACGTGACTTCACACACCTTATTCCAAAATGGCTGACTAGCACTGGCTTGATGTCTCGTTTTCATGAAATTGTTCTTTTCTTTTAAAGTCACTCAAGCTCAAAGACAAAAGAATAATTTTATGAAAACGAGACATCAAGGGCTAGTCAGCCATTTTGGAATGTAGCTTTCTGTACGGCTGGTTCCGTTTCAACATTTACAARTTYCATGCTTTCTTTGTAAAATCACATACAAAAATTAGTGTATCCTAGAAAAAGATGAAAACCTTTCGGTTAAATCATTTAAGGAACTGCGCAATATTTGTCAGGATGGGAGGGGGGATTTGGTAATCTGGAAACTGAAAAATCAACGGTGTCAGAAGTACATAACCAGAAGTGTCCATCTCCCCAATAATAACAACACCATGTATGTACTTCTGACGGTGTCAGATTCGAAGGCTTCTCAAGAAAAGCGTGCCACGATTTGCGACAACTCTTTRTCCGAAGAACAGTAAATAAATAAATAAATTCACGGGGGAGGGGGTAGTAATTCCCTTTTTGATTTTTTGGCTCATTTTTCAACACCCCCTCCCCTCTCCTGATGAATATTGCGCAGTCCCATAATAATAAAGGTGAAACTATCAAACCAAAAATACTATTTTGATAAGATTGAAGTAATCCACAAAGAGCACAACAGTCCGTTTCAATCATTATATCATYTAAGTTTATTCTAATCAATCTCTGTACATCCATCATTGATTCACACGTTCAAATAATCCTACAGCATGCAGAAGTTCTTTAGCATTCAGATCTCACCACAGGGAGCACAGGCTCTGTATAAGTGGTTCTTGTTTAGCCATCCCTCCCCTCCCCTCCCCTCTATATTTTTACCGTTTGTTTTGAAGATTTTTTTAGTAATATTTCTTATCGAGGACATGAAAGACTTTGTTAAGTACCTCATATTTTTCTTTTTCGTTGAATTCAACGTTTCTACAGTCTTAACGCACTTAGACGTTTTAGCACGAAACAAATTTCGTTTATTTACAAACATTTTCAATCGCTAAGAAGATTTTGTATGACATTATTCAATCCTGAATTTCTCAATTGGAAAAGTACGTCTAGTTTGTTTGGTGTGAAGAAACTGTACTATAAACTCAACCAAATCGGCTGAAACTTTGCCAGACGAATGTCGCATTTTGTGTGATTTCTTTGCAATCCAAGTAAGAAATTCCCGATTTAATAAMATCATACAAAATCTTCAAAATAACGTTAAACTATAAAGGGGATCCGGAGGRGAGGGGTGACATACGAACCGCTGATAAAGAGCCTGTGGTCCCCTTTGACCTCAATGGCGTCTTATCTAGATATCTTGGAGTACAACGCATACACGTCTGCGCATGTCTGTCCCGAATTGTCAATTTCCCACTTATCCTGCAAATCTGCTCCATACCAAATCCTAAATTGATCTCCAATTTTCACATCTTTTGCAGGAGAAATCTCGGGGAAAACCAATTGATCGCTGTTGTAGTTGTATCCTGGAACATCGTATCCCAATCGACCCCATGAATCATCTATTATTGGATACCCAATGGGTGGGGCAATTCTTTTGTTGCTTGCATCAGTAATGTGTGTTTCAATTCTAGTGATTGGTAAATATGTTCCTACTCCAGATCCCCATTTTCCAGTATCTCCCCATGGCTCAGCTTTCAAMCCGGTCCCTGAGACGTAAATGAGTTTGAATGTCTTGATTCGTCCACTCTTAKTGACTGTAAAACTTCCATAAGAATCGTCCCTGGTCCCAAAGCATACWGCGCTTGTACTGACTTTGATCCATACTGAAAGGAATTATGATATTATATGTTTGATATGAAGTTTCTCTAGAGCTTGAAGTGGATAAATAAGGGATACAGCGCGTGCATTATATATGATCGATATGATATAATAGCATAGCTCACTACATTGAAGTTATAAATACTATTACAATCATCATTGTCATGATTTACACTGAGCATCATCATTATTGTCATTGTATTAGTTTGATCTTAATCGTTTGTTTGTTGTTGTTGTTGTTGTTGTTGATCCTCATACCATTTCCTGCGGTTGTTGCTGCTTCTGTTACCGTGGTTTCTGCTGCTGTTGTTGTTGCTACCGTTGTTGATGCTGTTGTTGAAACCGCTTCCGTTGTTGCTCCAGCTGTTGTTTCTGTTCTTATTTCTGTTGCCGCAGGTTTTGCCGTTGTCGCAGCTGCTGTACTACTTGGTGCTGTAGTTACTGGTGCTGTCGTTGTTGATGCTCCCGTTGTTGCTATTGTCTTGTCTGTTTCGTTTTCCTTGTTTTCATCTATTAAGACAATGAGGCAGCCATAGCAATTTTGTAGTCTTGATTGTAGAGCACGCTTTTCGCAGGATACAGCTCATAAATTACCAGTTTATACAATTACAAATTCAACTTAAAAGTTCATCGTGTGCTTGACTAAGCAAATTTCTGTAAGTAATAGGAATGGACGCTTCATTGCAAAACTTTTAGTAATGAAGAAAGACAATTAAGAAAACGACTTTAGGTCAACTTAACGGAAATCTATCGAATGTTAGAACTATTTTCTCTCAATGAACCATAAAACAGAAAACAACAAGAGATCATTTGTAAAACAATAGCGGAGGTTCTCCGATGCATGTGAAGCTTCCAACGAAATTGGTGGCCAAGTTGTCAATCTCATAAAGCACTGATGAATAAAACATCAGTCAAATCACCTTACTCTTATTTGACCAAAACTTTATGAATTGTTAGTAAGTTGTTTTATTATTATTGACGTAAATCAAATGAGCTTACTTTCAAAGTAGTTTCCATCGAGGTCTTGGTTGCTTATACAGGCCTCGTGACTAAGGTCACCGAGCGAGTGGCACTTCTCGCCATTCTGACACGGATCAGTATTGCACTAAAACAAAAATCAAACGCAAGAAAAGCAATGTGAACTTTAAATCACTCTTAAATGGTCTTCTCTCGTTATGACGTCATGCTTGTTTTGGCAAAGGTGAATTTTAACTCTAGTGAAAAGTTTCAAGATGGTGGATATCTTCAAAACTTACGTCATCCTTTGTATTAGTTATTTGTAGTTTAGTGAAAATTGAGCTACTTTTGAATTCTTAGACAAATGTGGAACCGAGTATTACCTTCCTGGTCTTGAATGCGGAACCATTTCTTTTAACCACCTTGTAATCCAACAAGCGATCTTTGTAGAGTAGTTCACACTTTTTATCTTGAGAGTAATAGTTGAACATGTAGCATTCATCAGGGACATTCATAAAACAGGCGTCTTTACACTCGTTGTGGTCTCGAGCGTTGAGAGTCTTCAAGACTGGACCAATAATAGTATGGTTTACGATTAGTTCACTGTAATGAACTTTGAACGANGATATCTTGGAGTACAACGCATACACGTCTGCGCATGTCTGTCCCGAATTGTCAATTTCCCACTTATCCTGCAAATCTGCTCCATACCAAATCCTAAATTGATCTCCAATTTTCACATCTTTTGCAGGAGAAATCTCGGGGAAAACCAATTGATCGCTGTTGTAGTTGTATCCTGGAACATCGTATCCCAATCGACCCCATGAATCATCTATTATTGGATACCCAATGGGTGGGGCAATTCTTTTGTTGCTTGCATCAGTAATGTGTGTTTCAATTCTAGTGATTGGTAAATATGTTCCTACTCCAGATCCCCATTTTCCAGTATCTCCCCATGGCTCAGCTTTCAAMCCGGTCCCTGAGACGTAAATGAGTTTGAATGTCTTGATTCGTCCACTCTTAKTGACTGTAAAACTTCCATAAGAATCGTCCCTGGTCCCAAAGCATACWGCGCTTGTACTGACTTTGATCCATACTGAAAGGAATTATGATATTATATGTTTGATATGAAGTTTCTCTAGAGCTTGAAGTGGATAAATAAGGGATACAGCGCGTGCATTATATATGATCGATATGATATAATAGCATAGCTCACTACATTGAAGTTATAAATACTATTACAATCATCATTGTCATGATTTACACTGAGCATCATCATTATTGTCATTGTATTAGTTTGATCTTAATCGTTTGTTTGTTGTTGTTGTTGTTGTTGTTGATCCTCATACCATTTCCTGCGGTTGTTGCTGCTTCTGTTACCGTGGTTTCTGCTGCTGTTGTTGTTGCTACCGTTGTTGATGCTGTTGTTGAAACCGCTTCCGTTGTTGCTCCAGCTGTTGTTTCTGTTCTTATTTCTGTTGCCGCAGGTTTTGCCGTTGTCGCAGCTGCTGTACTACTTGGTGCTGTAGTTACTGGTGCTGTCGTTGTTGATGCTCCCGTTGTTGCTATTGTCTTGTCTGTTTCGTTTTCCTTGTTTTCATCTATTAAGACAATGAGGCAGCCATAGCAATTTTGTAGTCTTGATTGTAGAGCACGCTTTTCGCAGGATACAGCTCATAAATTACCAGTTTATACAATTACAAATTCAACTTAAAAGTTCATCGTGTGCTTGACTAAGCAAATTTCTGTAAGTAATAGGAATGGACGCTTCATTGCAAAACTTTTAGTAATGAAGAAAGACAATTAAGAAAACGACTTTAGGTCAACTTAACGGAAATCTATCGAATGTTAGAACTATTTTCTCTCAATGAACCATAAAACAGAAAACAACAAGAGATCATTTGTAAAACAATAGCGGAGGTTCTCCGATGCATGTGAAGCTTCCAACGAAATTGGTGGCCAAGTTGTCAATCTCATAAAGCACTGATGAATAAAACATCAGTCAAATCACCTTACTCTTATTTGACCAAAACTTTATGAATTGTTAGTAAGTTGTTTTATTATTATTGACGTAAATCAAATGAGCTTACTTTCAAAGTAGTTTCCATCGAGGTCTTGGTTGCTTATACAGGCCTCGTGACTAAGGTCACCGAGCGAGTGGCACTTCTCGCCATTCTGACACGGATCAGTATTGCACTAAAACAAAAATCAAACGCAAGAAAAGCAATGTGAACTTTAAATCACTCTTAAATGGTCTTCTCTCGTTATGACGTCATGCTTGTTTTGGCAAAGGTGAATTTTAACTCTAGTGAAAAGTTTCAAGATGGTGGATATCTTCAAAACTTACGTCTTTGTATTAGTTATTTGTAGTTTAGTGAAAATTGAGCTACTTTTGAATTCTTAGACAAATGTGGAACCGAGTATTACCTTCCTGGTCTTGAATGCGGAACCATTTCTTTTAACCACCTTGTAATCCAACAAGCGATCTTTGTAGAGTAGTTCACACTTTTTATCTTGAGAGTAATAGTTGAACATGTAGCATTCATCAGGGACATTCATAAAACAGGCGTCTTTACACTCGTTGTGGTCTCGAGCGTTGAGAGTCTTCAAGACTGGACCAATAATAGTATGGTTTACGATTAGTTCACTGTAATGAACTTTGAACGAAGTTCCTGGAATACACTGATCTGAGGAGACCATTGATAATAAATAGAGGATATTACATGGGCGTGCGGAGATACGGATTTTATCTTCSAGTGCTGAAAAGATCTCTCACGAGTGAGCGTAGCGAAATTTGTATCTCCAAGCGACCATGCAATATTCTGTTTATCATATAATTACGTATACATATGAAAGAAAATTATGTCGAAAAATACCTTTTTCTTACTTCCACTATATTGACAAACCTCGAATGTGTTATTTTCACTGGTGAAAATTACATGTTATTAGTTCACTAGTGAAAATATCAATTTTACGGAGAAATATAGGTATTTCATAGATAATTGTATGATGTGAAGTCGACCTCCCTTTGTTAATGAATAGAGTGTATTAAATTTTGAGAAGTCGACGGGTTCCTGGGAGAAATTCAGGAAAAAAGAACTCTTCAGCCAAGGAATACTCTCTAAGAAACTTTGCCAGGAAAATAAAAAAATTTCGAACTGAAAAATATATATATTAGTCTTTTTTGACCTTAAAACGTTTGCCAGGAAAAAAATATTTTGAAGAAGGAAGAGCGCCACATTTGCTTGTGAGATTGTCAAAAATGGAGCTCCAAATATCTCTTTCCCAAGAAAAAATTCGTACAAGAACAGTTATTTAGAAGACCAGACCCCGTCGGCTCCTCCTGTTAAATGATTTCATAACTATACAATAATTTKCTACAACTTATCAAACACAACATAACTCCCTAGCTAAGCATGTGAAGGCCTGGTAAATGCTTCGTGGGGGGTCTAAAATCAACTCATTTTTGTCCTGTAGTCGTTTACGCTATGGTAATCATGTGACCACGTTCCTGGCTTCCATAAATCCAAAAAACATTGATTTAAAACGGGGAGATGGATATCATGTGTAGTAAGAACTTAATGCTATATTTTCATTTCTTTCTAAGAGATGTATGCGAATCTGCCTTAATACCTGAACTATCTTTGTTCATTAAGGCGATATTTTCTTCTTTTTTTTATTTGGCAAGTAGGTCACGTGACTTCTCTTACGTAATATCGCCTTAAAGAGCAAAGCTAGTTCAAGTATTCGTATATATCTCTTAGGGAGAAATGAAAATATGACATTAAGTCGTACCTACACATGATATCCATATCCCAATTTTAAATCAAAGTTTTTGGGTTGGTGGCCAGGAACGCGGTCACGTGATCACCGTACCTTAAATGTTCATCTTGAAATCTTTTAAGGAAGTCGAGTTACATGTTCATGCCAATCTTTGTAATGTTTGAAGGGAAAACGACTAAAGGACAAAAATATTTTGATTTTAGACCCCAACAAAGAACTCCCAGGCCTAAACATGCTTGAGAATACAAATAATAGATAGATGTGTTTGTCTTTCTCGAAACAAACACAACTACACCACTGAACGGTGATCTAAATGATTTTGGTTCGTTTAAACGCAGTACAGTACCAACACTAAAAGCGTTAAACTTCCAGGAACTGAGAACTTTTAATCTACTTCGATCTACTTTCAATCTACTACTATTGACTCTCGATAGTTCCTCATTCATAGTGATAATTCGAAAAGCTTACTTGACCCGGCACACTAAGAAAAGAACTCAATATAATCTTTGGTTGTGATATATTCAATGAGGTCTGTAGAACTTTCWTTGGAAGAGACAGCAGTCAGGGTACTTCAGTTAATACCTGTAATACTACATAAATCAATAATATATTAATACAAATTTACCTTTTTCCAGATTTCCAACAACTTTTCCAGGWAGAAATAACAAAAACAGCGTCAATGAAAAGTGAGGTAACGATTCTCGTAACATGTCGAGTTTAACATCGATTTTCGCAGAGCTCTGTACCGATGTCTGCACATAATGATTACACATAACATCTCAGGTGAAAATACAACTGTTTTGGGCATTAATTATTACTGGTGATTAAGACTTCGCTGTTTCTTTTATATGCTTGTTTAGTAACGATCGAGAAGACAAAGTTATTTATAATGATCTCTTCATAATGATCATTATATTGATGTGTTGTTTATAGAACGAGAGCGCSTGTTTTRTCGGGATATATAAAGATATATAGAATCGAGCCGCAGGCGAACAAACTGTCTGTGATGCGACATTAAAACTGAGACCTTTGCTAGTGTTGGGTTGCGATAAAGCGCTGATGAATTAATTGAACATCAGTTATTTATATCTCTTGATATCTGATAGAGAATAAAACATCAGTGCTTTATCGGGACATAAAGGCCCATCATGTGAMMCATAGCAATTAATGATTCCAGMAGAATTGATCGGTATTTTTATTACAATAATCACTTTTAACATACATAATTTGACTATAAAACGCAAGTCATTCAATCAAATTTTGCTTAACATACATGCAGGAAGACATGACYRGGARCWAATCCCAAAGAGTAAAAGTTGGCGGGATCTTCCTCGTCCCTTTTTGGGTTTGAAATCAGTAGGTTGGCCTCTCTTAGGATGATAATGACGATAATTTTCCCCAACTATGTTTTGGGGTGCTTTTTAGGGTATAAGACGTTCATAAACCTGATAAACCGGAGTTATAAAGGTCAACAATGCTGGTACATGGTAATAAAATCATACGAGGAGACGGTGGTTTATATTAGTATTTAAGTGCAAACAAATCGAGAAACCTTTTAAGAATTTCTCCCAACACCCTTAGAGTCCTCCCCCTTGTTTATTCTCTTGTTTTTGTGGCTATGTAATTACTCAAACCCAAAGCCACTATKTTATAACGTTAATTGGTTGTGGATGTCTATCATTAATTTAGTGCTAGTTTTTTTTCTTGGTTTTTCCATTGGAATTCATCTACATTTTCTCTCGTTGTTAAAATGGAAGTCAAAGTTTAACAACAATAAATATAATAATTACCAATAAAATAACAATAAAAATACGAGTAATAACTGAAAAGTTGATTAGTTTACAGRGTTTGTAAGTAATATTTCAATAAAGACAAAATGTCCTTTTACAAATGTTGTAAATTTTATGTAAATTCAGTAAATATCTTGTAAAGTTTCATCGACAATCATTKTAAATGTCAGTGTAAAATTAATTTACAAAGTTTGTCAAACTGGACATTTTGTCTGTTAAGTGAATAATATTCAGTAAATTTACAGACTCTGTAACGTTCCCAGTGAATATAGCAGAGCAAATAAAACATTCCCAGAAAACAACTGACATAAAAAGCYCTTGAAGTATAAGTCACGTGACGTACCAGTGTCTCAAACATACAAATAAGATAATTAAACTGAATTGCAATAGTTATAAACGTTGATTCAATATCAGCCTTAGTTCTTAGACACTATCACCTTGTAAAATATTACAGTYCTCGTCGATCAAYCAGCYCTCYTATCACGCTATCTCGGAGTAGAAAGCAGACACGTCTGCACAGGACTGTCCTTTATTGTTAYTTTCGYYGWYGTTCTGCMAATCTTGCCCAAACCAAATCCTAAATTGATCTCCACTCTTCACACTGAGGGCCGGGGAAATCTCTGGGAGGATTATATAATCGCTCATGTAGTTGTATCCGGTAATATCGTATCCCARCTGTCCCCTTGAATTGTACACCGGGTACCCGGGTGGWGGGGTAATTCTGTTGTTGCCTGCATCAGTGATGTGGGTTTCTATGTTCGCGGTATAGCCTATTATTAATACTGATACGGGAGCTCCCCATCTTCCGTAACGTATCCCGAGCTCAGTTGATAAGCCGACCCCTGAGACGTAAATGAGTTTGAATTTCTTGATTTTTCCATCTTTAGTGATTGTAAAGGGTCCAAACGCATCGTCCTTTGTACCAAAACATACTTTGCTTGTGCTSACTTGGACCCAAACTGAAAGGAATTTCAGATATAAGTATCCCCTAATGGACCAATCTCGTACCCAGAGCCCGCACTTTTGCCATCCAGTGGTTGTCAATGCGCATTGACGTCCGCTGGATGGCAAAAGTGCGGGCTCTGGGTACGAGATTGCTAATGGACTATCATAAACCCAGCATTCTAATTGGCTAATGATCTTTTTCATATCAGTTAATGATAGTCATCAGGATCGCATTGAATGAACAAGAATATTCGAAAAAAAATCGATAAAAATTGTTGCCGTCCAAACCACCTCGTATTAATTTGTTAATTATCTATCTGAGCCGGCCTATGAGTAAAATGATAGAATTCTTGTCATAGGGAATACATCATAATCATCACACTTAATAATCATTTATATAGTCGTGTTTATCGGTATTTATCGCTTTTTGATCTGGAATTTTCTTGAAGTAAATAAAAATACCAGATGTAGCTCATGCACTATAGATGATTGATATACAAATACCATTGTTAATATTATTACATCATCATCGGAATCATGATTTATCCGACATATGGCATCATAATTACATTTGGCATTATTAGTTATATCAGAAAACGTACCATTTCCAGCGGGTGTTGTTGCTGCTTCTGTTGTTGTTGCTGCTGTTGTTGCTTCAGTTGTTGTTGTTGCTTCTGTTGTTGTTGCTGCTTCTGTTGTTCTTGCTTCTGTTGTCGTTGTTGCTTCTGTTGTTGTTGTTGCTTCAGTTGTTGTAGTTGCTTCTGTTGTCGTTGCTGCTTCAGTTGTTGTTGCTGACTCTGTTGCTGTTGTTGCTGACTCTGTTGTTGTTGTTGGCGCTTCAGTTGTTGTTGTTGCTTCTGTTGTCGTTGCTGCTTCAGTTGTTGTTGCTGACTCTGTTGTTGTTGTTGCTGCTTCTGTTTTCGTTGCTGCTTCAGTTGTTGTTGTTGCTTCTGTCGTCGTTATCGGTGCAGTTGTTGCTGCCACTGTTGATATTTTCGTTGTTGTTAGGTTTTCCTGGTTGTTAGCTGTGAGATAAAACAATGAGACGATAGTGATCCAGTAGACTTAACAATTTTAGTTGTGTTAAAAAGACGGATTATACTTTCTCTCCAGATTTCTCTAAATATGTCAGCCTCAAAATCTGGTAAAGTTTAGACTTTTTTTAGACGATTATTTTACTTACTTTCGCAGTATTTGCCTTCAAATCCTGTCTTACATATGCAGGCTTGATGGCTTGCCTCACTAAGCGAGTAGCACTGACCACCATTTTGACACGGGCTTGTCTTGCACTGTAGACAATAAGAGATCTTAAAACACCTCAAAACTGTCCTTCCATCTTAGCACGTCGCGAAATGCATCATGGTATTGATAAAAGTACCAAGATCCCGGATGCAAAGTTACAAAAAAATATACGTTTTCAAAGAAAAGAAGTCCTTTTATCCCTCGGAAGTGCGTGGACATTGTAATGGTGGACAGGACTGAGGAATACGTTATGCTCATATTGCATCTGATGCACAAAACAACATGACTTCAGTTGACATTTCCGTGAGTCTCCCCTCCCCTCCCCTCCCCTCCCTTTCCCTCCCCTCCCCCTTTCTGCACCTTTCTGGTCTTGAATGCAGAACCATTTCTTTTGACCACCTTGTAGTCCAACAAGCGATCTTTGTAGAGTAGTTCACACTTTTTATCTTGAGAGTAATAGTTGAACATGTAGCATTCATCAGGGACATTCATAAAACAGGCGTCTTTACACTCGTTGTGGTCTCGAGCGTTGAGAGTCTTCAAGACTGGACCAATAATAG